ATGCACTCGATTTCACATGCGTAACTCCCAATTGACTTGTGACTTCCTTGAATAAACTTGATATAAAATTGGATCCGTCTGTATAATTTTAGGCAAGCCCATTCTCGTGAAAAAGTTTACTAAGGCGTCTGCTACCTTCTTTGCCTATATGTTCCTCAACGGAATTACTTCAGGGTACCTAGTTGAAGAGCACATTATGGTTAACAGATATTTGTACGAATTTTTGGTCCGCGTAAAGGTCCAACACAATTAACTATAATTCTGTTGAATGGTTCTTCCATGGCTGGTATTGGTTGCAAGGGCGTTTTTTGGAATCGCCTGGTTAGGTTTGCCCGCAACTTGTCATGTTTGACATGTCCGACAAAATGACCTTACATCTCTCCTTATTCCCGGTTATTAGAAATATTTAGTAACTCTGTCGTGCGTCTTCGCCACGCCCAAATGTCTAGCCCACTGGCTATCATGCGCTATAGATAATATCTCATTACGGTACCTTGTAGGAACAATTATTTGCTCATATCCATCATATTTATCCGTTCCGGCATGGACCTGCGGTTTCCACTGCCTCATTAGGATACCATTTCTGATATAGTAGCGTCCTGACTTGTTTTCTTCTTCTCTACTTCTCCCAACTAGAGAATATAGCTTCTTTACTTCCACATCGGCTTCCTGTTCTTTTTTTAATTCTTCACGGGGTACGTTCAGCCTGGGACGTATCTCTATTCGGTTATATTTCCCCACTTTGTTCCTTTTATCGATTCTTTTTATCGTGAGTGATCTCGCCCTTCTGTTTTTCCTCTCTTTATGAAGCTTTTTCTCAGTTTGCCTTGTAACCACTGCTGAAATTTCCCTTTTTTCGTCTTCCGAGTTATAGTGCCTTCTTTTCATCTGATGCGCTGATATTTTTCGAGGCTCAATATCTATCTGTTTTCTGCCTGCATCATTTCCTAACAACAACGAAATTCCCTTCATCGGAAGCGAATCTAGCAGCCCGACTTCTACTTCGCCGGCTTTCCATTTAGACTTTAGTTTAATCTTCCATATCTCCGTTTTCATAGGTTTACCACCTATGCCGATCACTGTCTTTATCTTCCCCGTCCTATATCTCATATTTTCCAGCACATCCCTTCGCCTTGCTAATGACTGGGAAGCCCCCGTGTCTCTTAACACTCTTAGGGTTTTCATCTTCTTTCCGTTCCTGTCAAAAATCTGACCGTTTGCAGAGTATGGCCAGTAACTCTTGTCTATCTGTTTCGTGATTGCTGACCCTTGGGGTTTTGCATTTTCCATCATATCCTTATGACTCCTACAATTTGTAGCGATATGCCCTGGCTTTCTGCATGTATAGCACACTATCTGTGGTGCTTCCCGCTCAGCTAAGTTTCGTTTCCCTGCCCATATCTGCGTTCTGGTGCGCCTGGATTCTTCATTACCACGTGTCTGTCTTGAATGGCGTATTATGGATGTACTATTCTTTGAACGAGCTTTCTTATGGGTAATATTATATGATTCTATTTTCCTGTCACTCAGGTATGTTCTCATTTCCTCAGACAGGTTGTTCTGAAAATCCTCCACCAGTATAAGATTTTTCAGCCCATTATAATCCTCGACTACTTTCTTGGCTTGACACCACCTGTCTAAATATATCTCCTTCTGCCTGATATATTCTACGTATGTTTGGCCCTCAAACTTTCTATAACCCCTAAACTTCTGTCTATAGGCCTCCGACACGAGTTCATATGCCTTCAATATCGCGGACTTCACTATTTCATAGTCTGCGCATTCTTTGGTCGACAACGTTGCGTATGCCTTTTGCGCTTTACCAGTCAATACTCTTTGCAATAATATCGCCCAATGTTGTTTTGGCCATTTCATGTTTGTAGCCGTCCTTTCGAAATGATCAATATATTCTTCCACTTCCCTTTCTACAAACTTCGGTAGAAGATGCACTTGCTTGGTGATTTCGAAATTTTTCTCCTCATTTGCTTGTCTGATATCTAACTCGCATATTCTCGTTTCTTGTTCAATACGGGCTTTCTCTATTTTCGCTTTAGCTAATATCCTAGCATCCTCCAATTCTAACTGTGCATTTGACAGACTTGCTTCCTCTCTTGGGAATTCCTCCAGGGTTTCCTCCTCGAACTCATTATTATCTACCATATGTTCTGTAATTTTCCTCACTATCTCAACTTTTCTCATCGACTTCCTGACGTTTAGTTCCAGGCTTTCCCCTATCTCATATACTTCATCTTTCTTCAATTGACTTAGTTTTCCCGGGGTGGGCTCTCTCAGGAATTCCTCTACATTCTCCATTTCTAGTTTGTTTGTTTTTTTTAGTTCACCTTGTTGTAGTCAGTAAGTGTTATCTTAATAGAAGCGTTAAAAAGAATTTATGGCACGAGCCCCCATTTGTTTACAAAGCAAATATATATATCCCGGACGAAGGCCCTCATATGTCATATGCCCTAGTCGACGAATGGGCTTATAAGGCGATCATACGCCGACCAGAAGATATATACATTATCACACCTGCGGAGAGATACAGGCTATCTCTCTCAGATCATGACAATGGACAATTAGTAAACAAAAAATATTTTAAAGAACACTGTTCGATTAGAATAATCGAACAGTAATCTTTTCCCAGGTTCGCTTCGGTTTCAACACGAATACTGATTCACAATTCAAGGATGAACGATAAGGCGTAGTGAATTTTGATATAAGAACTTTAATATGTACATATACACAAAATATTAAAATAAAAGAAAATATAAGCATGAGTAAAACATCCGACGACCAGATCTCAAGACTTATGTTGGGATATCAAAATATGCCTAACTCCAAATGGATTCGACTGAACCCGAACGGATAAAAAATATAAGTATGAATAACTACGAATGCAGAAATCAACACATAAGCAAAAGAGATGGGATAGGTTAAAGACGATTCCAATTGCCTCGAACAGACCGGTCACGTTGTGGCAGAAGCAAAGTCCATCTTGACGAATGAAAAAGACTGAAAAATACTGGTGACGCTTTCTCTGACCTACGACTTGCACACTTTCATCTAACAAATCCCACTGCTTGATGTCCAGGTCACAATAGCAAAGTTTGAAGGGAATAATTTTAATTTTAATTCCCTTTGCTTCCCAGGCAAAAGCAATTAGGAAATAGCACTTACTGGCTAAAGACAATAACGTGAAAATTTTGGTGCACAGTGTAATAGAACAAATTAGCCTTTCAGCCTTGTTAGGGCAAAGAGCAAGATAGCTAGATTCAAAATCAACTTGAAATGGAATTGGTTTCGTCAAGTTATTTTCCCCTGCTACGTCTGCAGTAAATATGCTGTGCCTATAACTCTAATGGGTTAATGAATTTGTGATCATGAACTTGAATAAAAAACAGAAGAAATTATAATTACAAATTACACATCACGTCACGTTACGAGTACCAGATGTACTGCATCCGTGGCAGTGGTGATATGTTTAGGACAAAATCGCCTGACGGAATCCATCCCTCTTCAGGTTAGTTTTGAATTCAGTCTCCCCTGTTATTTAAGCTGAGGCAGAAGAGACCGTTTCATACCTTTTCCATAAGTTTCTTGTAAATTACTGCTTTAGTTTTGCAAACTCTATCTAACGGACATCTGCTTTTATTTCTACAATTGCATATATTTCTGTCGACAATGTTAAACACTTCCCCAAAAATTCCGAATTACATAAAATGTTTAATAAAAACACAGTTAAATTAAGCTACAGCCGTACTAGTAATTTAGAAACCACGATAAAAAGACAAAACTCAAGAAATTTCAAAACTAACGTGCAGCAAAAAAAAAAAATTACAAAGCAGAAGTAGTAGATACAAATGACCAGAAAAAAATATGCATAGGGTGTACTGGGGGTAACTTTAAAAAAGGTGGTACAATTATAAGTCGTCTTTTAAGTTAGAAAGCCTTAGAAATTCTACTAAACTAACCAACCATGTGTGAAATTAAAATTAAAGGAGAAAAATAAAAAAAATATCAGATTGTAAATTGGAAAATTAAAAAAATCTAATCCTTATAACAATGATAGTAACATCTGTAACCTTTGTCAACAAAAGAAATTAGCTATAATAACATTTCCATACCAAAAAACTTTTAAACCAGAGATCGGAAACTATGTGCCGTTGTATTCATACTAAAAAATTCCTTTTGGATTTATTTGAAGTTGGATAAAAAGAACGTATGTATATTTTATTTAATCCCCCACTGATATATTACCAATTCACTTGATTTTCCCCTCCTCCTTATCCTCCTCCTCCTCACCTTCTACCACACCTCTCGTCGTGTGCTTACTATTTTTTTTAACTATAGCGTTCATAAATTTTTGTTTTTTTAAAAAATAAAGCGTTACCGAAGATAAGAAACGGTTGAAACTAAGGTAGCGGAATCGGCCGATTTCCTAATTTTATATACTTAAAAGCACTATATGTCAAATATTTCTCTTTTTATATGTGTATTGAGGACTTTTCTAATACTACTGTTTCCTGGTCTAATTCAACTCTGACCACTAACTTCTTATATATATATATATATATATATATATATATATATATATATATATATATATGTGTGTGTGTGTGTGTGTGCATATATGTATGTATGTATTAAAAAAACTAGATGTGGTACTTTTCATAAAATCATAGTAGAACTAATGTACGAGATAATATTATATATAAACACGACATCTAACGACGCGTGAAGACGTGACATTCGAAAACCAACAACGGCAACGCGCAGCCCACAACAAATCTTTTGTCGGGGTTTATGAAGGCAAAAAGCAATCAGAAGAAACTGGAGAATTTATGTTCGAACTCTGCCCAGAAAGTAGGAAATGGTCTGAACTAAAGAAAAATAGACTAAAAAATACATAAGCAAAGTACTTTTGTGAGATTTAAAAAACGTGCAAAAATGAGAAATATATTTGTGTGTTGGGAGATAAAATCAATGATTTCTTTTGTGGCTTACTTACATAAGGCGGCGGTTGCAATGGACCTTTTCCCTTCTCTTGGTATCCAGGCAGGGCAATCTAAGAAAGCTGGCCTCAAAATGTATTCTGCAGTCGCTAAAGCAGCTATACTAAGGCCCATCGGCAAGATGAGAATGCACTGCGCCCACAAAAACATAAATCCTACCCGATCTCCATAACTTTCTTTCACATAAACATAATGGCCACCGGAACTCTTTACACGAACCCCTGAAGAAGAGGAAGAAAAAAAGAAGAAAATAATAATAATGAAAGATTTCTTAGAATAACCAAATAAAAATAAAGAATTTTATGAATCCAGGTTTACAGTCTTTTTAGATAATTTTTATTGGTTCGTTTTTTACGGTTTATCAACCCATTGCAGGTTATTTAATGCCAGAAACCTTTTTAGACTGTAAGACTGTTTTGTGAGATAATAATGGTTTAGTGATACAAGTCTTACTAATTAACCCATAGCAAGGGGAGAAGCGGTGGATTCATAACATTCCCCAGCGTATTTTACGCGTATATGAATATAACGGACCCAACTGGAATTGGAACTCGGCTCTTCGATTAACAATTCCGAGGCATTATCCATTATACGAGTCAGGTATCCAAGATTGCGGTCACCCATGTAGGTACTAACCAGGCTCGACATACGGGAAACGGTGTCTCAACGTGATGTAGCCGTAAACCAGATTAGCTTTTATAGTAGAAATTAACGCAAGAACAATTGCCACCGAAGCGGTTATTTTTATACATGTTATTTCTCTCTAAAGCAAAGTTGGAGAAGGCAGGTAAATAATGCTAGCGAGTTACTCTGATTGACGATTATTAGTGAGTAGTGCGTTAGACAAGGCAGTAAAGGAAAGTACAAAGGATCTTCAATTTTAAGAATAAAAATCTATGGTCAATAGATACAGCCCAAAATGCAAGCTACGAATTCGTCATCACCATCAGTCTCATGACTGTTACAATCACCGGGGACACATGAGGGCAAAAGGAAAAAAAAAACTTTGATTCTTCTTCCTCGTGATCCTTCTAGTAAGATAGCTCGGCGGCGCCTATTTCCTCTCCAAGCTCTTGATCGACAGCCGAGGACCATGGAATATTGTGTTGGTCCGTACCTTAGGCTCTCAGATTTTGAATTTAGAGTTGTCTTTCTCTTAGACCGATTACCACCCAAAGTTGTAGAACCCAGTCTTTTCTGCTATTAACCAATATCTGGGTGGGGGAGAAGTGGTGGATTCATACCATTCCTCAGGGTAATGGAATTCGAACCCGGCTCTACGGTTACTCATTCCGAGTCACTATCGAATATTCCACAGTGTCTCCACACGCTACGTATTAGAGACGTCAACATCAAACATATACAGAAATTTAGCTGTCTGGAAAGTGTTTTAACAGAAGGCGGAAAATACGATACAGAAATACGAAGGTTCGTTGGAATAACGAATCATCTCTCCTAAAAGCTAAACAAAATATTAAGAAACAGGAAAATTTCGTTAGAAACAAAGAATGCTGAAGTGATATGTAATATCAATCCTTCAGTGAATGCTGGACAATTCTCTCACAGATAAAAAGGAGACTTAAGGCAACAGAGATGTGATTTTACAGAAGTTTGCTGATAATCACATGGATGGATCATGTAAGCAATGAGGAAGTTTCAAGGGAAATAGAAGCAAAAAGGACAGGTGAAATTTCTAGGATACATAATGAGGAAAGAGTGTTTGAAAAATGTTGGAGTAGGCCATAGTAAACAGCGAGCAACCTATTCAACACGCTTGTGTAAATAAATGACAAATCATGGACTGGGAACAATAGTAAAAGGACAGACATTGCTAAGAGATACGAGAGATGCGAAACTATGGAGAGCCATGTTTGCCCATATTTTGAATGGACACGGCACATGAAAGTGTGTTCGATCCTCACTATGTGACTTATTCGTGAGGCCTGCTGCTAAAACTAAGAAAAGCTTAGTATTTTGGGGGACTATGTCGGTTAGTGGGTTAAGTATGATTGACCATTGCTCGTGAGTTCGATCCTCACTAGGTGGCCCATACAGGTGACCTTGTATTAAATTAAACTTAATAAATAACTAGTCCATATCCCAGGGGTCTATTTTCCTCACCTCCTTTAGAGTTAATCCCTGCAACAACAGTCGTTCTAAAAAGAGGATGTATGAAGAGGTTGCACTATTTTTTTGACCTGGTCCTATATATGCTTGGAATTGTAACTTTACACCCGGTCTTGTATTACATTATGTTCGAGTGGGTGTGCAGTTAAATACATTAAACGCTCAGACAAATGTCACAGGAGCAGTTAATTCAGTTTATAGGATAAGATATTCCCATCTGAAGCAAAATTGGGTTGGGAGGATAACTCTTTGTGGTGTAATGATTAGTAAAACAGTCTTTAAGCTAATCATTTCACCCCAAGCGAAGCAGTAAAGACACTAAGGCATAACTGGTTACTGAGTGTGAAAGAATAAGAAAAAAGTGAAACATTATTAACAAGCAAGAACAATAAAAAAAAAAGAATCAAGAAGACAGAATATAATGATTGACATTGCTTTTAAATTTTCGAAGATCAAATTTGGCTAGAAAGAATTGAGCCGGAAGAGAGTTCCACAAGCAAAAGGTGCGATAGAAGAAACTGTTAGCATAGAACTTAAGGTTACATTTAGCCAATTCAACTATAATATGATGAGACCTTGCCGCCATTCTAGTACCGCGCTTAAATCTAAAAAGTCTAAGTACCGTAGCGGAAAGTTCATCAAAACAATTACCATGAAAGTATATACAGAAAAGGTACAGAAAAGCTAAATTACAGCGGTGGGAAAGTGACTGAAGCTGAGATGCTAGGTCAGGACCAATAATATTGTGGATTCTTCTTTGAATTTTATCAAGAACAATCATTATAACGTAGAGCGTTTATCTCCCCTAGTTACCCCTAGTCGTGTTTATTAATACAAAATTTTTGGTCGTGTTAATTACCACCTGATAACTCTTAATAGACATTCGTTAAGCTTCCAGGCGAACCCTTGTAAAGTAATGGTCTAGCAGATCATTACTACTGTTTAGCAGGTTCGCACCTCACTAGATGTCCTAGAATTGTGTTACATGAAGATAAACTTAGGAAATATCTATAAATAAAACCTCTCCTAGTTATCGTAGAATAATCTTTCGAGAAAAATAATGTCAGACGATATTTTGTCATATGACCTTTCAGACAGTATTTAATAAAATGATATTTTTTTTATGTGAGAAGTCCTTTCAAACGTATGCGATCATGGCACTCCATGGTTTCCTATATTTTGGTGAAAATAATTTGTAGGGTGGTAGTTAGTAAAATTATTGATTTTTTTTAAATCCATGATGCTAAAAACAAACACAAAACAACAAAGAATAAACACATACCGGTTGATGTAGCCTTTAATTTTCACATATCTCGGGTTAAGTGAAAAAAAGAATTTAAGAATTTGTTAGAAACGATATTTCAAGAAAATCCTTGAAATATCTAAAAAAAAAAAAAAAAAAAAATATGACAATTTTATTTTAAAAAAGTAATAAATTATTGAAGTATTTTCATTTTTTTTTTTTTAGCCGTCTCTGTAAAAATTAAATTGGTTACTTCAAATTCGCAAAGCTGAGATGGCTCAGGGGCAATTAATTCCTTAATGCCCACCCTAAAATCTAGTATTAATGATAAAAAATATAAAATAACAATCCAGTATTAAATCTAGATATGTAAAAAAAAAAAAATAGCATTAATTATAGGTTTATAAATAAACGGTACTATAGGTTTATCTCGCGCTAATTATAGGTTTTTATAACACATTAATTAACATAATCTCCAGAAATGGTGTAGTGTGCATTAATGGGCTAATTTTAAAAAGACAAGGAACTATATCTGCAAAACTGACATTTTTGAACAAATGAGAAAGGATTTCTTTCAAAATGAAGTATTTTCTTAATGCATAAGATTCTTGCATTTTTTGAGAAAAAAATTTTCTAATAATTTTTTTAACATCATTATTCGGTTATCAAAGTAATTTCTCTGATTGTATGGCTTTACACCATTTCCAATTAAAGTATGTATTCTCATGTAAAAAGAATGATTCTAGTTTTTGCTTCGATGAAGGAAATGTCTGTACAGCTAAAGGAGAGGAAATTGTAGAGAGCCATGAAAGGACACGGCACATAGAAGAAGAAGGTTGCCCTTTCTACTCCACTCCTTCTTTATACAAAGAAAAAAAAGTTTCACTTACCCAATTCGGCGAAACACAAAGCGCCTGTGTAGCTGAGTAATCCACACAAGATCCATAAGAGAAAAGCAACACCAAAAGAGCCTCCAGCGCCTTTCAGAAGAGATTGAGGACTAATGAAGATACCGACACCAATTATGGAGCCCGCAACATATGAGATTGAACTCAATAAACCGAGGTCTTTCTTTAATCTCAATTCGTCACTTTGTTTCTTTATGAGCATTTTTTTTAATTCTCTTTTGACTTTCTTTTAATATTTGTAACTTTTCTTTCTTAACATTAATCTTTTTTTCTTCTCTTTTCTTTTTTTAATGTTGTTTCATTTTTACTTAGAAGCGATGATTTATGGCACACCGGAATGAAGAATAAATGATAAAGACGTTTCGAAATCTGTGAAGAAAACAAAAACAAAATCATAAATATAAAACACTATGAAATGAATGTCTATAAAAGAAGGAAAACTGAGCTCTTCTACGTGGCGTAATGGTTAACAAGCCTGTCTTGTCTAGATCAATTACAATTGACTAGCAAGTTTGATGCTCACTGAGAGCTCCATATTTGCAGCCTAAGTTCACATATGGTTTCAGTGATTTACTAAACCTTGTGGCTTAGTAAATGGCTAAAAGAAAGGGAAACGAGCATACTGAAGGTAAGCATTTTCACAAGCACTTTGACCTTTGCTTTTACACGACTTTAAACGTAAAAGGCTTTATCATAATCATACAAATGTGGATCACATGGCTAGTCATCTGAAAAAAATAAACAATACTAAACAATACTAAAAAACTATGAAATATAGACGAAAACTTAATTTAATTTTACCGTACCTTTACGGAGGAGAATTGATGGCGGAAGTGGAATGTGATGAGGAAGGGGAGAGATGTTATTCTATAGAACGTAGTTCACTTGCATTAAAAAAAAAAATAGATAACTTTGGTGGGGGGGGTCTTCTCTTTAAGAATAGTACAGATCGTTGATTTGGCCATACCAGACTGATTAGCAAGATCAGAGAAACGAACACCATATCTTACATGATAAAAAAGAAAAAATAATATTTAAACTATTTGCACTTGAAAAAGCTCAAAATTAGTGCTTCGCCAATTGGTATGTGCTGTATGAAAAGCTTATTTAGGGATCCAGTGAAAATGTAACATAGAACTAGTAATAAATTGAATACAGTAATTCCCAGTCCCATTTACAACTTAATAATAATAGAATGGAATTTAAATTCGTGCTCGCCTCGTTGATAATGAGCCTATATTTATATGTCTATGTGTTAGTTGCAAGTACTTAAAAGAATATCATATTTCGTTTTTGGATGTTACCTCTGTGCCTTTTCTATAAATGCTTTCATTGTAATAGAACTCTTCTCCATAGTTTCTAGACAATTTCTTTTTTAAATTTAAGTGCAGTACCAGACTGTGGTCGAGATCTCATCAATTTACAGTTGAGCTAGCTAGATGTAACCGTAAATTCTATGCTAAGAGTTTTTCTCGCTTGTGGAACTCCCTTTCGGCTCCATGCTTTCCAGCCAACTTTAAAATGCAATGTCAATCGCTACCTACTGTCGTCTTAATTACTCTTTTCTCTTCTCTCTCATTATTAATGTTTCTGTTCCTAATTCTTCCGTACCCAGTAACTCCTTGTGTCTTAGTGGCTTTTCTATCTTGCATGGGGTGAAACAGATTAAAAAAAGAAAGGGCATTTTTTTTTAATTTTTTTTAAAGCATAACGTAGAAATGAGTAAAAAAAAATGAAAAGATTACCAACTGCTTCATTAATGATAGATACATTGCACGTATCCTTGTTAATCAGGCAGAAAATTATTACAGCTTCACCTCTTTCTCTCACCTGCCGTATTCACCGGATATTTCACTTCTCCCCGATTCCCGGGAGTTGGTTCAATTCTCACTAGGTGCCTACATATGTGGCTTTATACCGTACTAAGTTAAAATTCGAGCGCATCACCTTGGAGTAATTACTAATTTAGTGAATTCGATCCTTTGGAGTTGCGCTACACACATGCCCTTGTGCCCGACAAAATCGAGGAATTATCAAGATCTGACTTTTCCGCCGTGGTCCATAAGCCAACTTCGCAGAATATTACTTTTTTCGTAAATTTGATTTTGGGGCCCATTATTGCGACCTTGTGTCTAACTAAGTTAATCTTAGTAAATGTAAGCAAAAAAGAAAGTTCGACTTCGGTGTTTAAAGTTTTTGAAAGGTTGCATACGTGACTAAAAATAGAAAAATTGAATTCGTTTCACTAATAACACGAAGGTCAGTGATGTTTTTCTTTTTTTTAATCAAATGGATTTTTATGTAGACTTTACTTTCGACCTTTTTTTTTTTGTTAAAAGAGTAAAAGTGGAGAGAATATATGAAACGGGCGAGTCGATAATAGGGAATACATTTTGACAAAATCTTTGGGTGGAAAAAATTAAAAAAAAAAAAAAAACAGAAAAAAGTCCCACAGTTTCAGGCGGTGATGAAAGCATTAAATGCTTCCGCCGATTCGCTAACTTCCTTTCTGTTTTTAATCACACTTCTAGTCTAGCATCGATAGCAACACGCAATACCGTATACTCTGTGTGCGTACGCGCGCCTGTGTGTGTGTGTATACTCACACACTCGACAACACACACATAGACACAATGGAGAATGATAGGGTGTCTGGCGTAGAGTGCTGGTTAACAAGCTAGTCTAAGGTAGTCGAGTGAGTTCAATCCCTAGAGAATGTCGCGTTCTTGTAGTCCTGTATCAAACTGAGTTGATTCGTTTTTACATGCCAGCACTTGCATTATTTAATGTTGGATGTTGTATAGGGCACACAGTGAAGATCAAACTCAATCCTTTAGTAACGATCAAACAGACTTGCCTCACTAAACATTACGCTATAGTTGCATGGAGCTTAGGGGTTAAAATGAATACTTGATTTACCCATGCCATAAAGATTAATGAAGGATGATAACAACGAGGAAACACACAGGTAATTTTAACAAAACACGATAAAGAATTTATTCAGGAATTTAAACGCTTGAAGTAGTGTCAGTAACTCGTTTCAGGAAAATAAATCAGAATTCTTAAAGTCCGTAGTTTCAACATATTGTCATGAAGAGGAAATGTTCATACAACAGATTAAATGATCTAACACAAAATAACATTAAAAAATGTTTAAGACAAAGGTAAGTGAGTTTGTTACTCACCGAAGGGATATATGGTTTGCATATGTTCAAAAGTTGACTGAAGAGACATAGTTTGAAATACTTAGCTTTCTTGGATTTTTAAGAGAATATTCTTTGAAGTACTATGTGCTGGTTATAGGCCGACAATATAGAAGGCGAGTAAATCTACACTGCCGATTACTTCAACGGTAGTCGTGAGGAACTGAACCGAAACCTTTCATGTGACTTCAGACACTTTTCTCTGCTTAATTTAATTGTTTTCCTCATTTTATACGAGAAAGAAATTCTTTTCTTTTTCTTCTCGGCTCACCGGTCAATATCTGTGAAGGCAAGGTTTTAATTGGCCCAAAGAAAATTTCACAACGTAATGTTTAGTGAGGCTCGCGAATTCCTTTCCTTCTTCCTCAGTCCTCCGAATTTGACAGGAGTGGCTAAAGGGAGTTATTATCATTTCGCCTTCACTACAACCTCAAGTTGGACATAAGTCAAAATTGTGCGTGTGTATACCACTAGTCAGTCCCGATAGACCATGGATCTGGGCCTGGGGAGTTTTAAAATAATTCTGCTTGTGCTAATAGCGCCACGTCTGTTTTCCCATTTGCAGTTGAGGGGACGCTCCAAGCCGCAAGGCTTTATGAAAGGCTGGCAGTTAACCATGCAGTACGTCTCCCTTCTACACGCTACCGACTTTGTCCAAGGAAAGAGAAAATACCGAGAGTGCGTGACACTAGTGTCATCGCAAGAACTGTCAAAATGACCTTGGATTTTACGTTAAATTGCTTTTTGGATACGGGATCAAACTTTTATAATCAGGTTTTTCTCCCAAAGACCTCAAAATGAGTGAGTGTGATCGCAAGGTAGTTTAAAATCAAAGTTTTTCCTCTATTAAATGGACTACAATTCAAGAATGACGAGTTCCATCTACCCTTTGTAGTGTTTTTTTTTCTCATATTCTCTATCACACAGTAATCCCCTTGCCTCTTAGTGGCTTTATTGCCTTGCTTGGGGTGAAATGATATATATAAGAGTAAATAAATAAGATAAAATGTTCAGACTTATCTCTCTGATTCAGAGTTTTGCGGAACTGGTATACGCTCTTCAATGTGAGATAATAAATTGAATTTATTTACAGATATCATAATTTCTAAAAGACATGAAAAAAGACATCAATTTTTGACGTTCAACTTATTTTAAATATATAGGTAAAATGATGAACAAATTCGTATATCAAATGCTGGGACTTTTTACAATCACGGTTCAAACGCTCAAATCATTTTACTGCCCAGTTAAAATTATAGCGTTACCCATGACGCCCCTGAACACTTACTGTCCACTTGAGAGGTAATAGCGGCCTCAAGGGAGCGTTACCGCTTACGTTGGGAATTGCTGCATTAGAGATATGTGATATGAAAGATGAATGTGTAGAAAACAACAAATAAAATACAAATACTTCTACTATTATTATTATTATTACTACTACTACTACTACTACTACAATAATAATAATAATAACAAAAATAGGAAATAGTAAAAATAAATTAGTATCTCGACTTTATCAGGAAAACATTTCGTTATCGAAGAGCTGAAAACGTTACCAAAGAGCTTAAGGAAAATGGTCGAAGTGAAAAACATAAGAATGGCCGGTTAGTAAAAACATACTAAAATACGAAGAGCATACTAGAACTCCAGTGTAAACCACCAGTTACTAATACTACTACTTATAATAATGATGATGTAACTAACCTCATCAAAATGGGTGTCATGAATCGTATATTGGGCTTCGTGCAATTGTACGCCAGACTCACTTTGCTGGTATGCGGCTCTCACTCAATAAAAAAATAAAATTGTGTATAAAGAATTATAAGGAAAAACGTTTACTCACTGAAGTAAAAATCACTATTCTTCAAATTATTTTTTATAAAGATATAGTAAATAGAAAGACCTTGAAATTGAAATTCCGAAAATGTAGCATCTTAAAACAACAATTCCAATTGTTTTCGGCACTTTAGGAACAATTCCCCAAATTATGCAAGATATATTTCCCAACTACTGGATGAGCAAAGCTTAGCTGAATTGCAGAAAATTGCACTAATGGGAACTTTTCACATCCTGAAGAAAATACGATTAACGTGACCTTAAATAAATAAATAACTTTTCTTTTGTATTTGATTTCAAAAAATACTTGAAGATTTTTTTCATCTTAGCAATTCTTAAGCCCTCATAATTTTATCTCTTTTAACAAAATTGATTTTAAGATATCTTAACATTGACAATATTTTTATTTGATTTTATCCCTTTTTCACATTCTTCTTTTTTCTTATCTATTAAACGAAGCATATGGCTATCAGTTTTGGCATGTCAGCTTGAATCTTTTGAGGTTTCTAGTTAAAACTTAGAGACCAGCGCGTTTAACAAACAAGCAAATTAAAAACATAAAACTACAAAAATAATCATAATAATAATGATGATAGATAAATTTAAATGCAATGCCAATCGCTATCTACTGTCCTCTTGATTACTATTTTCTCTTCCCGCTAATTATTAATGTTTCTGTTTTTAATTCCTTCACGCCCCGTAACCCTTTGTGTCTTAGTGGCTTTACTGCCTTGCATGGGGTGATGCCGATTAAAAAAAAAGATAGATAGATAGATAGAGAGAGAGAGATAAGAACTTATTATATAGGATTATTGAACTCGACAAATAATAACCAAGAAAAAAATATTTTACTTAAGCGAGCATGACTCTCGACAGCTTCCTTTTCCTTTGATATCTGTAAACTGTGCATTGTTATGGCTGCTCTTGGGAAATATAGTGGAATAGTTTTCTGTGTCCACGGTTTCGAATTCAGAGTTTCAACCGTAATTTTTGAACAAGGAAGTGTTATTGAATTTTTTCTTTCCACTTGATTACATTGAATCAGACAAGGCAAGAGCGCTTACCGTAGAGTAATGGGTAGAAAACTAGTCAGGATGATTATTCACATGTAGTGAATTTGAGCCTCACTGCGATAGCCATGTGCCAGACTAAGATATAATATGTGTTATTATCTATATTTTATCAATCCAATAGGCTGTGGAAAGGTTTTAGAAGAGACTATAATCGTATCAGATGAGTAGAAATTAAAAAAAAAGATTACTATCAAATATTAACGTTTAAGATAGTGATACATGTAGGGCGTTATATGATTTGTTGTAAGTTTCTAATACTTTGCGTAAAAGAAAAAGATTATAGAGAACAAGATCTCTTGTCAACTCACAGAAAATCAGAAGCAAGACAGAAAAGACGATAAAAAATATACCTAAAATTTATTAGATTGTACCATACTTAATGACGTTTCATCATTTGGGATAATAAAGATGTGTTTTGGTAGGATTTTTATAATTTATTAGTGAAACAGTTGGATTTTAAGGATTTGCAATTTCTAATGTTTATTTTATACATACATACGTTTATATATATATATATATATATATATATATATATATATATATATATATATATATATATATATATATATATATATATATATATATATATATATATATATATATATATATAATATATATATATATATATATATAAATAAATGATATTATTTGATAGGATGTCCAGGTAGTGTAACAGATATCAGGGCAGAAAGTTGAATCGACATGGCGAGTTCAAATTCCTGGCAGTAAATCACAAATAATAAAGAAAGTGAATATGTGGAGAGGTGAAGAGTTATGATCGACCATGTCGATATATATTTTCTAAAGAGGTAATGGATTTATTTTTAATCCGACATAAACGTTATTATAGTGGACTTTTCGTATTTGAGAGAGACGCCCTATTTTTACTTATTAAACTTACGTCTATCAGATTGCACATATTACTCGAATCCGTAGCCCAATAGATGTACTACATACAATATTTAATAAATAAAAATAAAATATATCATTCATACGGTATCTTGAGGTGTATATTTAATTTTTAACACACACACACACACACACACACACACACACACACACACACACACACATATATATATATATATATATATATATATATATATATATATATATATATATATAACATTTAAGAGAGACACTGATTCGTGTGGGGCAATTATATTTGCAATGATATTGTTTATCCTTTACAAAATCAAAACAATATATTTTTAAACAAGAGAGACGTGACCTTTTTTCCCCAAGACATATGAACTTTTGAAAATATATCATGATTCCTAAACACTTGTGACCGATGCTCACAACGGACACATTCATTGAGAAATAGATTGCAGCCAAAACCGATGATGGGAATATTCCGTGAAATGTATTTTTAAAAATCAGTTAACATTGGAAAAGATATTAGGCCAAATAAAATACAATTGTTCTTGAGAATAGCGTCAAGTGAAGTTTTGGGAAATACGAACAGCTGAACTATTACAGGAACAGCTGATAACAATGAAAAGAGACAAAACTGAACCGGAAACGGTTCCAGTTTGTTTAATTTCAGTATAACCATTCTACGAGTGGGTGAGAGTCAAGTTCAAATTCCAATTGGTTTCGGTTTATTCACTTACGCGTAAATACCAACAAAACCAAAAAAAAATTGTTAGCCTTTTTATGGCTGTCATCATATCAACCTGTTGTCTGATAATTTAAGAACCGAAATGAAAAATAATGTAGATAATTTAATAATTGTAAAAGTTAAAAATAATAAGTAGGTTTGTGTAGGAATTTCTGAGATTATTTATATATATATATATATCTACGCGAGTCGAATGTTCTCGATCTGCTGTCCATATCTAAGGACATCACGTCAGTTCTTTTTCAGTACTGCTAATTATTACTCGCGCAGCTTCCGCTTAAACTTTTAACTACTCAGCCCAGGAATTGAACTCACAATCATGTTTACGGCCATATCACGTTGTAACACCAATTTAATCGGAGAGCCGAGTTCCAATTCCAGTCGGATTCATTATGTTATATTCACATACGCGAAATTCACTTGGGAAAGGTAAGAGTTCAGCACCATTATTCGAATAAGCTCCTCTCTTGAATAAGAACTCCCACACCATCAAGAAGTAATTTTTAAATAAGCCCCCACCAGTTTTTTATTTTTAATTTCAAGCAAGCGATCCCCACCACCAAATGGGTAAAAGATTTGCTTACAACAACATACAAGGGGCCGGAAAAATTTTAAAAAAAACACGATTTCATTTAGGTCTGACGATTTAAAGAATAAAATTATTTTTTTTTTCTTACGGTTTATCAACCCTTTATGGATTATGCATCGACAATTCTTTGAAAATAACAACGATCTTTCCAGATACGAGAACAATCTACCAGAGTAGATAAAAAAAGATTCAGTTCGAAATTTCCTAAAGGTTATCTTAAGCGACAAACACCTGATGAAGGTAGTCTGGCATAACGGTCGAAACGTTGTGGCAATAAGAAAAAAAAAGATGAGGATATTAGTATGAATTTAAATAGGGATAACGCCTCATCCCAGAAATTCCGCCGCGAATCTACTTATTTTTAAATTTTACAATTGTTAAATTATCTGCATTATTTGTTATTTAAGTTGTTGAATTATTTGCATTATTTGTTATTAAATTGTTAAACTATCTGCATTATTTGTAATTTAAGATGTTAAATTATCTGCATTATTTCACATGACAAATACATTATTAAAATCATAAGAAATTATTATCTTTTAAAAATTCAAATTATAAAATTTTTTGTGCTTGTTTTATATGGAAAATAAGTCGTCGAATAAAATTATCGAAATATCTTCTTTCTACGGGTAAATCAAAAAAATATTATTGGAATATTAATAAACAAAAAACAAAAAAACAAAATGACGTTGAACTGGCAGGCAAAAAATAGGCTGATTTGCTGGCGTCCATAAAAAGAGTAACCTAACTTAATAAAGCTTGTAACATTTCGTTAACATTGTATAAAAACTGTGGCTGTGAACATCCACACAAAGAATACATTCATTGAAAATCGAAAAATATATTAGGTTGGTGCAAAAATAATGACGTAATAATGTCGTTTTTTGACGTATTTTTTAAGGTCAAAAAACGACATTATTACGTCATTATTTTTGTACCAACCTAATACAATAAAGAAAAATAAAAGATGATCATGAAGCATTAGCGACAAAAAACAATTCCTGTGTCAGCTGTAACAAAAAAGATTATCATTCTCTCGTGGATTTCATACAGCAACCAACAAAGTCGTTCCAATATTAAAACAAACTACATGTACTGTGATCCTCTTGGGGGTGAAAGACGTTAACAAAATTATATAGCCAAAAAGTTATTATTATTATTATTAATAATAATAATAATAATAATAATAACTATGAGTTCAGCACTTAGAAAAGAATGGAACATGAATATTTCAGTAGTGCCCGTGATAGTAGATGCACTTGGAACAGTGACAAAACACGAGAACTGAGAGTGGATTAATTGGAATTTCGAAGAATTGAAACAGTCCAAATATCAGTAGTGCTAGAGTCTGCTTTAGAATACCGGGAAAAAAACATTAAAGATTTCACGTGACTTGCTGTCACTCACCCTCCAACTATGATCACTAGACGCCTAGCAGTAACATGCAAATGCATGAAATTGCTTCAAATAATAATAATAATAATAATAATGAGAAGATGATGATGATGATGATGAAATGGGAAGAGGAAGAAGACGAATAAGGAATATCGAAAAAGAATACTTACTCTACAGGGAAAACATGCAACTTTGAGATCTTGCAACGTGCTTGTTCGTACCTCTTATCTGCCTCAGATTTTGATTGTTGGTTTTTATTTAGCAACACAAATAAGATCGCTTCATTCGTAGAGTCCTGCCTTGTTTTATCTTAAAATAAATAAATAAAATAAAATAAAATAAATAAATTATGTTAATATTCTTGTTTACCCCGCCTTCTTTTTCTTGGAGACTGATAGGCGCTCGTTTTCCTCCGTGACCAAACCATTCAATGCAGTAAAAATACGACTCGAGAGCAGCAGCAGAGATAACGAACAAATGATTGACGGTCATTTAACTCCTAACTCAACGCATTATCAAATCGTCATGTTTATACACGAGCGTCACAGCTGAAGAGGAAAAGGGAAACAAAACAAATTTATTGTTAAAGAATAAAGAAAACAAAAATTAAGCAAGGTGTGGATTTGATAAGTTTCATAAGTTTCACATTAAAGCATTCGATTTTATGAAAAATACACAAACCATTCATTTGGAAAATAATATCACGTATATTGCCTTAAGTGATAGAAATATCCTAGATATAAGATATATGTGCAATAATTTTGAAATTAAAAATCCTTAGAAAATTATTCCAATTTTATACATTTTACCTAAATTAGCACTTCGTCCAATTTTTGACTTATATTGGCTTCAAAACTTTGTAACTAAGTTTTAAATTTTATATAAATTTGAAAAATTGTAATCAGATCAGCTATATCTTCCGTAATGTTCCTTTGTTTTTTTAAAGACATTTTCATTCATGATGTAGGGGATCATGGCTCTCCACAGTTTCTTTTTCTTTAATATCTGCGAATTACCATGACTTCTTAAGAAAGATAGCAGAGTAGTTTTCAGTTACCATCCCCACGGTCTGAAATTCAGTTTTCTTTTAAACTGGTCGTCACCCAAGGCTTGAGAAACCAGTCTAGTCTGCTATTTAAACCATATCTGTGGAATAGAAAAGAGGCTTATCCGTGCTTTTCCTAAGAGTGCGAAAGTAAAAGAAGTAGACTAGATTGGAATTTGAGCTCTGCTGGCCGATTCCACTGTTTGCGTTGATGTTTGTTATATTACCCTCATATCCCACTTTTCTTCATGCAGTGGTTAAAAAAAAAAACAATGCCCCATTTGAGAGCTTCTCATTCAAACAGTATATCAGATAAAACACCTAGGGATTGCCTTTTCTTGCCATTTATAAGATATTACGTTATATATATATATATATATATATATATATATATATATATATATATATAAACAAATATAAACAAATGCTTAGAAGTACAAAATTTATATATAGTTTTAAAAACAAGGAATGTATTGATTTTAATTTTAAAAAGTCTCTAAGGTCCTTTCAACCAACATCTCATCAGGAGACAATCGTTGGATAATTAATCAACGAAAAGAATATTAACGAGTTATATATATATATATATATATATATATATATATATATATATATATATATGTTTGAATAAAAAAACAGACCACGTTAAGATTCCATGTAATAAGCTATTTCACCATAACCCTTTTAACAGGGTTCTGGATCATCAGACTTTACTTCCCAAAGCTAAAATGAAAAATGAAAAGAAATTCACACGTTTTTGACGGACCTCATCAAGTATACGTAAAATTAACGAAGTGAGGAAGTGAGGTGGGAGAGAGGATATGAGTGTGTCATATGTATCATTTCAATTTCCTATTTTAACCCCAGTGTGTCGGCTAGATGTTGCTCAAATTTAACGCGTCTCGTCTCTAGATATAGATGGCTAAAGGGTGAATGAGAAGAACGACATTAAAGGAAGAAGCTACAACAACCCCAATCATATATATATAAACGGTAATTATATTACAGGATTGTCAAAATAAGATGTATTTGATATTCTAATGACCTCGAAATTGATCATATTCATGGCCTTATTTGACCACATGGGCACCTTTAAAAAAGATTTAATACTTTTTTTTATCATATATAACGTTATCTTTGTCTAGCCTAAAAAAGACATGAAACTAATTCTCTTATATACATAACTTTATTGCTTATGTCATGTTGAACTGGCAGTTAAATAAAAGACTGATATGCTGGCGTCCATAAAACGGCGAACTGTTAATATTACTTACACTATTTACATTATTCAGACTGTTGTCATAATCCTTATTGTCATATTCACGTTTCGGTCGTTGCACCTCCGGCCTTCTTTAGGTGATATACATTACGTAACCGAACGGGTAGATTGTTCTCGTTCCACGTGTCATGCCTTTTCTGAATATCCCAGTTTCAGTTTAGTAACTCAACTCTCCAAGTTTTTGTTCCCCTCTGCTGTGGTCAAGTATTGAACTCACAACTCTTTGGGTCACTGGATTACTTCAACCAACGCTTTTATCCACTGGGCCATGTCTTTTATCCCGAAAGACACATGACTGAAACTGAAATATCCAGAAATACATGGCACGTGAAACTAGGACAATCTATGCCAGTGGACAAAATAAAGGGTTCGGTTCGAAACTCCAACGTATATCACCTGCAGAATACCGGAGCCTACAACGGCCGAAATGTTGTGGATACGACAATAAAGACGAGGACAACAGTCCGAACAATGTAAATAGTCTAAACAGTTACAATACCTCATCTCAGAAATATAGACAGATATTAATATTACCTGCAAGACCTCCTTAACTTTCGACAAAATTGGCAAGTTAAATTTTCATGATTAGTCAAGTATCATGCTGAATACCGCCTGTCAAGGAATATTTGGCTATAGTTGTCTAATTTGTGAGAATTACAAAGCAGTTTTATTTGTTTACTGAAAATAAAATAAAACCTGTTTTCGCATATTTGAAATTTTTAAACCTAAAAATTCATTTTTCATATTGAATTTTTAATCTGAGTTTTCAAAATAAAACCTTTCTTGTTTCGTGTTTATTTATCCTATAAAAGGCAGAAAGAACATCCAAGACAATATATAACAAAAAAATTGAGAACTTCACCAGGAAAGTTAGGAAAGTCACCGTGTCGTAGTAAAAAAAAAAAAATACGCCAAAATCTATCAATATTTATAAGTCTACCATTCGCCCATGCTTTGAATATTGCTGCTACGTGATAAAATCTAAAGAAGCTGCAATGTAATTCGTCCTGACCTACATTTCGCTTTCAGTCACTTTCCCGCCACTGTAATGTAGCTTCCCCTATGTATGCCTTTTCTATAAATACTTTCATGGTAATTGTTCTGATTAACTTTTCTTTGTGGTACCAAAATTTTATGAATGTAAGTGCAGTACCAGATTGGTGGTGAGGTCTCTTTATTTTACAGTTGAAATGGCTAGATGTAACCGTAAGTTCTATGCTAACAGTTTCTTCTCTCGCACTTATCGCTTTCCAGTCAAAGTGATCTTCAAAAATTTAAATGCAGTGTCGATCGTTATTTTCTGTCTTCTTAATTTTTTTCTTTTATTGTTCTTCCTCTTGAATAATATTTTTCTTTTCCTTATATTCTTTCACACTCAGTAACCGCATGCCTCTCAGTGGCTTTATTGTCTTGCTTTAGGTGAAATAATTAAAAATGTGTTTGAAACCCTCACGGTAATAATACTGTGACAATGATATGTGGCGGGGTTTTGTATCCCTACAGTTATATTTTCGCTAAAGGCTTAGCTTATTAAGTTTGTTATGGCATTTGAAGATGGCTGGTGAAGATCTCATTCGCCAATAGCTTGCGAGATTATCATTGTTGTTCCCCATCCACTTAGATGTTGGTTAAAGTGATGGCGTGTGAATTTGGTGACACAGCAATCGCGAGTTCAATCTCTAGGTCGGGTAGTACAGACTCAGTGAAAACAGGACTGGCAATAAGTGAGCAGTGCTAAAAAAAAGAACAAGAAAATTATCCCTAGACGTGGATAGCGGAACAGTAACGGTGTTGTAGACAAGATTTTGTTGGCTACATCCTGGCGTTGTAGATTGTTGGGATAGGAATTGGGATCAGTCTAAAGTGACGTCATAGGAAATGGTTTACAGAATCATGTTTACCATACTGACAATACCCAGTTCTTGATAAAGACTGAAACGGTCGAAAGTAGTTGACTCAAAAGTGAACTCCGGATAGTTTATCTACAATTCAGACCCGGATTGATATCTTATTGGAAAATTGGAAAAATACAATAAAATTAAACTGACAGTGTTTGTGAGTTAAATTTAAGAAAAATTATTTGAATTAATTCCTGCTGCCTAAATATACCTTTTGAGTTGATTTTTGAGTAGATTTTGAAAATTAAAATATTATTTGCGGTGTATGTTTTTCTTTTTCTTTTTTTTTTTCAGCATAGATTTATGTCAACCAACCTGTGTATTTGAGAGTCTTAATAAGGAAAATGCAGGGTTCGAATATGCATCATCATGTAAGTGAAACTACTGTAAATTCCACTCAGACACAAAAAGTTTCACAAGCAAGCTAAATTCAATTACCCTATTGAATATCTCTTGTCTAGATCACTCTGAACCCATATCTACTAACTTTTTTTTAGTATCCGAAACGTGAACAAAATAATTTCTAAGGAATTAATGAATTTTATTTATAATCCGACATTATTTTTTATTAGTTTAAACATTATACGAGGGTGGGCGGAAAAGTTTATAGGTTGAATATGAAGGAATGGTGCTAAAGCTGTGAAATCTTGCATGCAATATTCTCTTCTTCTCACTAACTGAATTGTTTCTTTTCAGGTAAACTGACATTTGACTGTTCAAAGAAGACTTAAAAGTAACTAGTAGCGACTTGAAAGTGGATAAAATTTGGCATCATGGAATTATCAAGTACGTGCAGAAAAGGTTTTACCCCAAGGACATTCATACTGACATGGTTGCTACATTAGTAGATGACGCTTAAGCTTTATCAACAGTGCAACAGTGAGCAGCTGAATTTAGGATGGGAAGGGAGAGTCTTGAAGATGACCAAAGGTCTGGACGTCTTGAAATTGCCACCACCGAGGAAAACATTGATCGTGTTCATTATATGCTGATGGATGACAGTCGATTGACTATAAATCAAATCAAATAGACAATGCGTTTATCATATTCTGTGAGAGAGTTGAGAATATTCTACACAATGAACCTGGCATGATGAAGGTTCCCTGCTCGGCAAGTGCCACGTCTTCTGAAACTTGAAAAAAAGAAAACCAGGCTGATCACATCACGGGAAAATCTTACATTGATGTGAAGCCAGTTAGTTTCCTTGAACGTTTCCTTAGCCAAGATGAGTTTTGGGTTCATCACTTTAAACCATAGACAAAGAGAATCA